GTAAACTGCCAGGAAGCAGGGTGAAGCGAATTTCACCTCATTAACCATCGAAAACCACCAGCCTCCCAACTCAAAAAAGGACCCCTTCCCCCCCCCCCCCCCATACTCGGCCGTTTTACATTTTTCTGATGATATCCTGACTAAGTCGTTTTAACCTTTGCAGGATATGAAGTGCAAGTCAAGAACGTGGCTTCTGTTCAAGAAGCTGCGAATCAAGCATCAACCTATCTGCCCCCGCTGGATCTCCATCACCATTCGCCATCAACGTGACCTTCAACACGCCATCAAACCGCCCAGCCTCTCTCTCCAGCTCCAGAGGTAAGCTTTGGCTATTTTCCCGAGCTTATTGATTTTCGGCCGTTTTGCTTCAACTTCTTTTTCAGATATGAGTTTATTCTAACTAAGTTGTTTTAACCTTCGCAGGCAATCAAGTGCAAGTCAAGTCTGCTCAAGAATCTGTGGAACACACATCATCCAATGCGCACCCGCTGGAGTTCCCATCACCATTTGCCACCAAAGCCACTATCAACCCGCCATCAAACCGCCCTCCGCCCTGCCCACCTCTTCAGCTCCAGAGGTAAGCATTGGCTACCTTCCCTAACTTATTGATTTTCGGTCGTTTTGCTTTTAACTTCTTTTTCAGATCTGAGTTTTTTCTAACTAAGTTGTTTTAACCTTTGCAGGCAATCAAGTGCAAGTCAAGAACGTTTGTTTTGCTCAAGAAGCCGTGAAACAAGCATCAACCAGTCCACACTCGCTGGAGCTCCCATCACCGTTCAGCACTTCAACGTTCTGCCGTTCTCCCCTTCGTGCGGAGGCATAGCTTCTCTCGTGTGGCGTGCGACGGGCGTCGGATAAAGGACGCGCGCGACTGCTTCGGCGCGACTGATCGGGAAGTGTCGTTCCCTTCCCTCCCTCCTCTCTCCTTTCACCGCTTGTTCCTATGTTGTTTCGCAATCCGCCAATCCGCCATTTGTGTTTTCCAACGTTCCACCGTTCCTCTGACGCAAGGGCTGCAGTTGGGAGATGATCCTCCGCGGGTCGGGTTTTGGGTTAGGGTAGCATAGTTTCTCCTCCCTCTTCTGGCTGCAGCCTACGCGTCACGAACGTTCCACCCTCGTTCTGTTCTTTCTTGTCGGTTTTTCGATTTCGTTTGTCTTCGTTTTTATTTTCAGTTTCGCATTTCGTTTCGTCTTTGTTCTTCTCTTGTCTTTATCTTCTGTTCTCTTTACTAACTTCGTGCTCTTGTGCGTGTTTTCTACCTGCTATTCAGGTTTCATGACTTGCGCTGCGGGGCTTCAATCGAGCCTTCTCCTATGACTTCAACACTTCTCCCGCGTGGCGTGCTACGGGCGATTTGACAAGGGACGCGCGCGACTGCTTCTCCGTCAACTCCAACAGATGGAAGTGTCGTTCCCTTCCCTTCCTCGTTCTTTTTACTGCTTTTCTGTTATTTGTTGTTTCGTTTCGCACTCATTGCATCTCGCCAACCCGCCATTTGTGTTTTTCGACGTTTCACCGTTCCTCTGACGCAAGGGCTGCAATTAGGAGATGATCCTCCCCGGGTCGGGTTTTGGGTTTGGGTAGCTTAGTTTCTCCTCCCTCTTCTGGTTGCAGCCTACGCGTCACGAACGTTCCACCCCCATACATTTTCGCATTCGTCGTTTTCTTCTGTTCTCGAATTCTCGGTTTCTGTTCACCAACTTCGTGCTATTATTTGCGTTTCTTTTCAGGAACAACGGATTTGTCGTAGCGGAGCTTCAGACGCGGAGGCAACAAGGCTGCAGACCTTCAGACGCGGAGGCAACAAGGCTGCAGACCTTCAGACGCGGAGGCAACAAGGCTGCAGACCTTCAGACGCGGAGGCAACAAGGCTGCAGACCTTCAGACGCGGAGGCAACAAGGCTGCAGACCTTCAGACGCGGAGGCAACAAGGCTGCAGACCTTCAGACGCGGAGGCAACAAGGCTGCAGACCTTCAGACGCGGAGTCAACAAGGCAACAAGGCAACAAACTCCTTCAGCAGCGGACAAACTCCTTCAGCAGCGGACAAACTCCCCGGCAGCAGCGGACAAACTCCTCGGCAGCAGCAGACAAACTCCCCGGCAGCAGCAGACAAACTCCTCGGCAGCAGCGGACACAACTACTCGGCAGCAGCGGACACAACTGCTCGGCAGCAGCGGACAAACTACTCGGCAGCAGCGGACAAACTACTCGGCAGCAGCGGACAAACTACTCGGCAGCAGCGGACAAACTACTCGGCAGCAGCGGACAAACTACTCGGCATCAGCGGATAAACTACTCGGCAGCAGCGGACAAACTACTCGGCAGCAGCGGACAAACTACTCGGCAGCAGCGGACAAACCACTCGGCAGCAGCGGACAAACTACTCGGCAGCAGCAGACAAACTCCCCGGCAGCAGCGGACAAACTCCTCGGCAGCAGCAGACAAACTCCCCGGCAGCAGCAGACAAACTCCTCGGCAGCAGCGGACACAACTACTCGGCAGCAGCGGACACAACTGCTCGGCAGCAGCGGACAAACTACTCGGCAGCAGCGGACAAACTACTCGGCAGCAGCGGACAAACTACTCGGCAGCAGCGGACAAACTACTCGGCAGCAGCGGACAAACTACTCGGCATCAGCGGATAAACTACTCGGCAGCAGCGGACAAACTACTCGGCAGCAGCGGACAAACCACTCGGCAGCAGCGGACAAACTACTCGGCAGCAGCGGACAAACTCCCCGGCAGCAGCGGACAAACTCCTCGGCAGCAGCAGACAAACTCCCCGGCAGCAGCGGACAAACTCCTCGGCAGCAGCAGACAAACTCCCCGGCAGCAGCAGACAAACTCCTCGGCAGCAGCGGACACAACTACTCGGCAGCAGCGGACACAACTGCTCGGCAGCAGCGGACAAACTACTCGGCAGCAGCGGACAAACTACTCGGCAGCAGCGGACAAACTACTCGGCAGCAGCGGACAAACTACTCGGCAGCAGCGGACAAACTACTCGGCATCAGCGGATAAACTACTCGGCAGCAGCGGACAAACTACTCGGCAGCAGCGGACAAACTACTCGGCAGCAGCGGACAAACTACTCGGCAGCAGCGGACAAACTACTCGGCAGCAGCGGACAAACTACTCGGCAGAAGCGGACAAACTACTCGGCAGCAGCGGACAAACTACTCGGCAGCAGCGGACAAACTACTCGGAAGCAGCGGAAACCCCCCTTTGGAAGCAGCGGAAACCCCCTTGGGAAGCAGCGGAAATCAGCGGAAATCAGCTTCGGAAGTAGCGGAAACCCCCTTTGGCAGCAGAGGAAAACCCTTCGGCAGCAGCGGAAATCTCCTTCGGTAGCAGCACAAAAACCCTTCAGCAGCAGCGGAAAACCCCCTCGGTAGCAGCAGACACACTCCTCGGCAGCAGCGGAAAACCCTCTCGGCAGCAGCGGAAACCCCCTTCGGAAGCAGCGGAAGCTCCCTTCGGAAGCAGCAGAAACCCCCTTCGGAAGCAGCGGAAACCTCCTTCGGAAGCAGCGGAAACCCCCTTTGGCAGCAGAGATAAACCCTTCGGCAGCAGCGGAAATCTCCTTCGGTAGCAGCGGAAATCTCCTTCGGTAGCAGCGGAAACCCCCTTCGGAAGCAGCGAAAACCCCCTTTTGGAAGTAGCAGAAACCCCCTTCGGAAGTAGCGGAAACCCCCTTTGGAAGCAGCGGAAACCTCCTTCGGAAGCAGCGGAAACCCCCTTTTGGCAGCAGAGATAAACCCTTCGGCAGCAGCGGAAATCTCCTTCGGTAGCAGCACAAAAGGCCTTCAGCAGCAGCGGAAAACCCCCTCGGTAGCAGCGGACACTCCTTCGGCAGCAGCGGACACACTCCTTCGGCAGCAGCGGACACACTCCTCGGCAGCAGCAGACACACTCCTCGGCAGCAGCGGAAAACCCTCTCGGCAGCAGCGGAAACCCCCTTCGGAAGCAGCGGAAACCCCCTTCGGAAGCAGCGGAAACCTCCTTCGGAAGCAGCGGAAACCCCCTTTGGCAGCAGAGATAAACCTTCGCAGAGATAAACCCTTCGGCAGCAGCGGAAAACCCCCTCGGCAGCAGCGGACACACTCCTTCGGCAACAGCGGACACACTCCTTCGGCAGCAGCGGACAAACTACTCGGCAGCAGCAGACACACCCCTCAGCAGCAGCGGAAAACCCTCTCGGCAGCAGCGGAAACCCCCCTTCGGCAGCAGCGGAAAACTCCTTTGGTAGCAGCGGAAAAACCCTTCAGCAGCAGCAAAACCCCTACACGGTAGCAGATGATAACTCATTCACGATGGAGCCGACGTAGCAGGTCAACACCGTCGACGCAGCTGACGTAGCAGGTCAACACCGACGACGCAGCTGACGTAGCAGGTCAACACCGACGACGCAGCTGACGTAGCAGACAGCAGCCGCACTGAATCATCCTAACTGAAATAGCCGCACAGAAGCAGCCGTGATTCTGTGAAGGGAGGAGCTTGGGGGGGAGAGTGGCAAAAACCTTTGGGCAGAGCGGTGGCGAGGGGTTGACTGGGATGGTGGGCGGCGTGGAGAAACATTAGGCAATTGAGTGTGCATGCTCAGGCCAAGAGGCTGTGGCATACGGTGCCCGGGAAGCTTCAAGGAAGTCGTGATGGAGGCTGGTCTTGTCGAGTATGGTTCTGCAGCAGAATCATGCTCGCAGGATACCACACACTCCAGGTAGCAACTCCCTTGGGGTGACTCAGGCATCACGAGTTTTTCCTCACTGGCGTGGGTGAGGAGAATTCGATGCCACGGACTTTTCCACACTGGAGTGGGTGTGGAGGGTCCTTTGCCTCTTGGTGCCTTGTGAATCTCGCGCTTTTTACCGACCAGTCGATTCCTTGATACCGTGATGCTGAGGAGGGGGTGAAGGAGTGGGGAAGCTGCTAAGGAAGCTGCCAGAGGCTGCTAACGAAGGTGCCAAGTGTTGCTAAGGAAGGAGGGCTGCTACCTTAGGGAAGAAGGGGTGTGCAGCAGAGAAGGGGTGTGGAGCAGAGAAGGGGTGTGTAGCAGAGAAGGGGTGAAGCAGCAGAGAAGAGGTACGAAGCAGAGAAGGGGTGTGAAGCAGAGAAGGGGTGTGAAGCAAAGAAGGGGTGAGAAGCAGAGAAGGGGTGTGAAGCAGAGAAGGGGTGTGAAGCAGAGAAGGGGTGTGAAGCAGAGAAGGGGTGTGAATCAGAGAAGGGGTGTGAATCAGAGAAGCAGAGAAGGGGGTGAAGGAGACAAGGGAGCAGGAAGGAGAGGAGAGAAGAAGGGGGTGAAGCAGAGAGGAGTGTGAAGGAGAGAAGGGGGTGAAGCAGAGAGAAGGGGTGAAGCAGAGAGAAGGGGTGAAGCAGAGAGAAGGGGTGAAGCAGAGAGAAGGGGTGAAGCAGAGAAAAGGGGTGAAGCAGAGAGAAGGGGTGAAGCAGAGAGAAGGGGTGAAGCAGAGAAACAGAGAAGGGAGTGAAGGAGACAAGGGAATAAGCAGGAAGGAGAGGAGAGAAGGAGAATGGGAAGCAGAGAGAAGGGGTGATGCAGAGAGAAGGGGTGAAGCAGAGAGAAGGGGTGAAGCAGTGAGAAGAGGTGAAGCAGAGAAGCAGAGAAGGGGGTGAAGTAGACAAGGGAAAAAGCAGGAAGGAGGAGAGAAGGGGTTTAAAGGAGAGGTCGTGAATGAGAGAGAAGGGGTGTAAAGGAGAGGGCGTGAATGAGAGAGGAGTGTGAAGGAGAGAAGGGGTGTGAAGTAGTGTGAATGAGAGAGAAGGGGTGTGAAGGAGAGAGAAGGGGTGTGAATGAGAGAGAAGGGGTGTGAAGGAGAGAGAAGGGGTGTGAAGGAGAGAGAAGGGGTGTGAATGAGAGAGAATGGGTGTGAAGCAGAGAGAAGGGGTGTGAAGCAGAGAGAAGGGGTGTGAAGCAGAGAAGGGGTGTGAAGCAGAGAAGGGGTGTGAAGCAGAGAAGGGGTGTGAAGCAAAGAAGGGGTGTGAAGGAGAGAAGGGGTGTGAAGCAGAGAAGGGAAAAAGCAGGAAGGAGAGGAGAGAAGAAAGTGTGAAGCAGAGGGAAGGGATTATGCAGTGAAAAGGGGTGAAGCACAGAGGTGTGAAGCACAGTAGGAAGGGGAGGAGATAAGGAAAAGAGAAGCAAAGACAAGGTGTGAAGCAGAGTGAAGGGGTGATGGATAGAGGAAGAGGTGAAGCAGTGAGAAAAGGGTGCAGCAGAGAGAAAGGGGTGAAGCAACAAAAAGGTAAAGCAATATTAGCTTGATACCGACAAGAGGCCTAGAGAAAGGGGGAGGATGAGCAGATGGGTTGAGAATAAAGTTGTGTGCCTACTCGTGGCAATGATGCTACAGAGCATAGCTGTGCTGGATACTCGTCAGATGCAAATTACCCTGTAGTAGCGTGTAAGACATGATAAGTATATTTTATTGACTGTTCTCCATGTGTACAATCAGCATTTTATTATCATTTGAGGTTGCGAGATATTCTTTGGAGGCAAGTCAAGTGTGGTGTCACCTTTTGGGAAGAATTACAACAGATTGACACCTTTTATTAGTCAATAATGGATATATACCGCACAGTCTGCATGTATAATCTGCACTCATCATTGCACACACCATACTGTATGGAATAGACAATGTAGGAAGTCCAGGGTCTAACATACACAATCTGTTGTACAATCACATTCAGCTGAACCACTTGTGTATGGTACTTAGCATATGTATGTACCCTCACCTGTTGTTGTCTCACAATGGGAAATGTTCAGTGTAAAACTACATAGGAGAGTCTTTCACATCCATCTATTCCATGTCGGCCTCTAACCCTTCATACCAATTTCTCAAACTTCATCCAAATTCTAGCAGAGAAGCTACACAGCAACACATCATGATTCAAGAAACACAATTACAACAAAACACAGCACCCGCCCTGCGCTTTAGCAGCACCATCGTCCAACCCCCCAACACTCACATCCGTCTTCCCTTCCCCGACCTTCCCCTTCGCACCACCCCCCCCCAGCCCCTGCTCTTTCCTTGCAGCTTCCCCTGCCTCCTGCCGCTCCTTCCCTTTCCGCGCCTCCTCCTCCTTCCTCGCTTTCTCCCGCTCCTTCTGCTTCCGCTCCTGCCGCTGCCTCTCCCTCACAGCCTCCTGCTTCCCCTCCCATTCCACCACGGCCTCTGCCGCCGCCTCACAGATTTCCAACAGTGCCGGAATCACCTCCTCCGTCAGATCTGGCCGATCTCGGCGGTCCATTTCCGCGCACCAAAGGCCGAGATTCGCCAGATCCATCGCGAGATTCGGTGGCCACTCCCCAGCCCTCGGATCGAGCAGCACGGCCAGCTCCTCCCTTTCCACCGCTGCATCGATTCTCCTCGGGTTCGGCACATCACCAACTAGCAGCTGCAGCAGCACGATCCCGAACGAATACACGTCGGATTTCGGCCCGAGATAGCCTCGTCTCGCGCACAGATACTCGGGGTCTACATAATGCTCTGTGCCGACGATAACGGATTTCCGCACCACGTGGGAGTGGCCGGGAGCGAGGTCCCCCATGAGGCGCGCTAGGCCCACGTCGCCGAGCTTGGCAGTGAAGTTGTCGTCCAGCAGCACGTTGGCTGGCTTCACGTCTCGGTGGACGATGGGCGGCTTGCGCGTGTGCAGGTGCTGCAGGCCCGCTGCTACCTGGTGGTGTTGGAGGAAGGGGAGAGGAAAAAGGCGAAGCGCAGTGAGCACGATTTGGGAGTGGGATGTGGGGAAGGAACTAAGGGGAAGTGGGGTAAGCATAGGAAGGAGAGCCTGCACATGCGCAGGCGCTGCAGCCCCATTGCTACCTGGTGGTGTTGGGGGGTTGAACGGACAAACGGAACGCAGAGGAAGATGGGCAACTCAAGAACGCCTCCTGCAGCAACGCATGCCACCTGTGCACTCTGTGATGTGCCCTTGGCTTCATCTGCATGGCCATGCAGCGTTTGTGTCACATGAGGGCATTTAAGTATTTTCCCACCACACAAGACCACACAGTATTGCACATCGCAGCTCAGCTCAGCATGGCAATGCGATAGCGCTCGGGCCACATGAGGGGCGGAGTGCCGCCGACGCAGAGCATGCGATCCTCCCAGCCCACCCTCAGCCCACACCGCACCACACCACACCGCACTATACCACACAGCACCGCAGCGTACCTCCATGGCGATGCGACAGCGCTCAGGCCACGTGAAGGGGGGAGTGCCGCTGACGCAGAGCATGCGATCCTCCAGAGAGCGATCTTGTACACCAACAAGCGGTCCTCCCTGCAGTGCCCAGTCCTCACTCAACCGCACTGCACTGCACTGCACCGCCCTACACTACACTACACCGAATCACACCACATTTCACCGCACTACACCACACTTAATAGCAATACACCGCACAGTACCTCCATGGCAATGCGGCAGCGCTCAGGCCACATGAGGGGCGGCGTGCCACCGACGCAGAGCATGCGGTCCTCCAGGGAGCCGTTGGAGAGGAACTCGTAGACCAGCGAGCGATCCTCCCTACAATAACCTAGGAGGCGGACGGCGTTTGGGTGGTCGATACGCTTCTGTACTTCCACCTGTGGGGTGTAGAGGCAGAGGAATCAGCATGGGTTAGAGAGAGGGCAGAGCATGCGATCCTCCAGGGAGCCGTTGGAGAGGAACTCGTAGACCAGCGAGCGGTTGCCCTGCAGTAGCCTAGTAAGCGTACAGCATTAGGATGATCAATGCGCTTCTGAACCTCCACTTATGGGAATGCACAGGAGCGGAGGGAGGGGGTTCAACAGTGGAAGCAAGGGTGCTTGGGGGGAAGGGTTAAGCATGGGAAGTAGGAGGAGAGTCGTTGGAGAGGCCGTACACCAGCGAGCGGTCCTCCCTGCAGTAGCCCTGTAGACGCACTGCATTTGGGTGGTCTATGCATTTTTGTACCTCCACCTGTAGGCATGGGGAGCAAGGGTTAGAGAGAGGGAAGGCAGCGAGGAAAACAAGCAAGAGGTGGGTCGTTGGAGAGGCCGTACACCTGCGAGCGGTCCTCCCTGCAGTAGCCCAACAGCCAAGCCTCCACCGCATTCCACCGCACTCAGCCTCTTAAGAGGAACTCGTAGACCAGCAAGCGGTCCTTCCTCCCTGCAGTAGCCCCGCAGTTTGACGGCATTTGGGTGGTCTATGCGCTTCTGCACCTCCACCTGTGGGAATGAATGAGGGGGATACAGCAAGAGGGGCAAGGGGCGGGGAAAGGGGGAGTCGTACACGAGGGCGCGGTCCTCCCTGCAGTAGCCCCGCAGTTTGACGGCATTTGGGTGGTCTATGCGCTTCTGCACCTCCACCTGTAAGCATGAATGTGGGGGATACAGCAAGAGGGGCAAGGGGCGGGGAAAGGGGGAGTCGTACACGAGGGCGCGGTCCTCCCTGCAGTAGCCCTGTAGACGCACTGCATTGGGGTGATGAATGCATTTTTGTACCTCCACCAAGTGCGCCCCTTGGTCCCCGCGCGCGCCCTGGTTTACACGTGCGCCCTGGTCCGCGCGCGCGCCCTGGTCCACGCGCGCGCCTTGGCCTACGCGCGCGCGACTTGATCCAAGTGAGGACTTGGTTCAAGTGAAGGAAGCAAAGGAAGCAGGGGGAGGGCCGTTGGAGAGGAACTCGTACACGTGCGCGCGGCCCTCCGTGCAATAGCCCAGTAGTCACACTGCATTGAGGTGGTCTATGTACTGCTTGATGGCCATAGCTACTTTCACTCACCCTCTTCACCATAGAACCACACGCACCCCCTCTCAACCCCTCTCAACCCCTCCCAGCTCCCTCCCACCTCCCTCTCGATCTCATACGGGGCCAGAGTTCTTGAGTTGCTTGATGGCCAATGCTACTTTCACACACCTTCTACTCCATAGCAGCACACGCACCCCCTCTCAACCCCTCTCAACCCCTCTCACCTCCCTCTCGATCTCATCCAGGGTCGCTTTGGCATCCGGGTTCCTGAGTTGCTTTATAGCCACAGCCACTTTCACACACCATCTTCCCCACAAAACCTCACACATCCACACGTTACACGCACACCCCTCTCACCCTCTCTCACCTCTCTTTCGATTTCATCCAGCGCTGCTTTCGCATTGGTGTTCTTGAGCTGCTTGATCGCCACTGCCTGCCCGTCCAGCCACCCAAGTTAGAACCACACGCACACACCACACCCCCACGTGGCACGCACCTCCCTGTCGATCTCATCCAGAGCTGCTTGGGCGTCGGGGTTCTTGAGCTGTTTGATCGCCACGGCTACTTTCACAGACCCTCTACTCCATAGAACCACATGCACCTCCTCGCACCCCTTCTCACCCCCTCACCCCTACGCACCTCCCTGTCGATCTCATCCAGCGCTGCTTGAGCATCGGGGTTCTTTGAGCTGTTTAATCGCCACGGCCTGCCCATCCAGCCACCCCTTGTACACCACCCCATAGCTGCCCTCGCCACACAAGTTGCTCTGAACTCACAGTCGCATTCTCACACTCATTCGCTCACCTCCCGGTCGATCTCATCTAGAGCCGCTTGCGCATCGGGGTTCTTGAGCTGTTTGATTGCCACCGCCTGCCCATCCAGCCACCCCTTGTACACCACCCCGTAGCTGCCCTCGCCACACACGTTGTTCGGCCAGAAATGGTCCATGGCCGCTTGCAGCTCTTCAAGTGTGTACTGCTTGAAATCCTGCCTCGGAAGCGCGTCGAGTTCAGAGGTGGAGAGGCGGATGGAGAGGGAGGAAGCCAGCGGGTTGGACAAAGCGGAGTTGGCGCCGGTAGGGACGCTGCTGCTGATTGTGCTGTCTCCTGCTGTGCCCCCCGCTGCTACTCCTGCTGCTGCTGCTCCTGCTGCTGCTGCTCCTGCTCCCGCTAATGCTGCTCCTGCTGCTATGCCTACTGTTCCACTGCTGCCACTCAGCCGCTTGCTCGACTGCCCCTCTCTCTCTTGAAACTTCTTCTCCAGTCGAACCTTTGCTGCCACAGGCGGCTTCACCTTCCCCTTGCCCTTCCCCGGCGCCCCTCCCCCTGCGCCCCCCCCTGCACCTCCTCCTGCGCCTTCCCCCGCTCCCCCCGCCCCCCCTGCGCCCCCCCCAGCTGCTTCTTCCGCAGCCTGGGCTTTGGCAGCTGCTTGCATGCGATAGTTCCGCCGGGCTAGCTCTAGTGCTGATAGCCCCTCGTCTCCTGCTCCCCCACCCCCTCCCCCACTCGCCCCTGCTGCACCCGCAGCAGCAGCACCAGTACTGGCACTGGTCGCTGCTGCTGTTGCTCCTGCCGCCACTGCTGCTGCTGCTGCTCCTCCTGCGGCTCCTCCCACCCCAGCAGCGGCAGCAGAAGCAGGGGCAGAGGAGGGGGGGCTGGGGGGTTCCTGTGTGCCGCTGCCGCCCTCCTGTATGCCTGGCAGCTGCTGCTCGTAGGCTGGCGTGGCGTACCCTGCTGTGCCCGCCTGAAGGGGGGAAAAGTAGGTGAAAAGGGCCTATTTTTGAGTCGACTCAAAAGAAGGGAGGAAGGGAGTTTGAGTCGATTTGAAAATGCATGTGTGCCGCTTCCCCCTCCTGTATGCCTGGCAGCTGTGCTTGCCTGAGAGGAAAGGGAGAAGAGGGAAGAAGGGGGAGGAGTGGGGGGAGTGAGGGAGTAATGGAGGAGGACGGGAGATTGTGAGAAGCCTCGAAAGCTCCTGTGTGCCGCTGCCCCCCTCCTGTATGCCTGGCAGCTGCTGCTCGTAGGCTGGTGCGGCATACCCTGCTGTGCCCGCCTGAGATGGGAAGAAAGGAGGGCAGGGAGGTGGGGGTGAGGGACGAGCAGGCGGAGGGGGGAGAGGAGGAGGAGATGGATAGTGGAGGTGAGGGTGATGGGAGGCGAGGGACAGTGGGGGCGAGGGATAGTGGGGGCGAGGGATAGTGGGGGCGAGGGATAGTGGCAGGCAGTGGGGATTGGAGTAGGATTGAGTATGGGTTAAACGACTCACCGTGGTGGGGGCGGGGGGCTGTCCCGAGGAGATGGATTTGAGCTTCTTGCCGTCTTCAATGATGAAGAGCGTTGCTCCGGGCGGCAGTTTCGTCTCGTCTGAACACGCGTTGATGGTGTGGCACCTGTGTTGTGTTGGTGACAAGACAAGACGCACGCATGCAAGGCAAAGTGACTCCTAAGATGCCCCATAGCAGTGCCAACTCATCTGAGCTTCCTTTTTATTCATGGTGTGCCACCTGTTTGCAACAAAGAAGTGATATGTAATATGTATCATGTCATGTCATGTGATGTACACAGTGGTGGTGACGTGGCATTGGAACAACTTGAAGATGGGAGCACCAAGCAGGTTGCTTTGCCTCCAGCTTCGATGCTGCTGTCTCAGCTTCACTCCTCACTCACTCCCTCCCCTCTCACACCCACTCTCCACCACTCACTGGCTGGCGCCCTTGCCGGCAGAGGAAGGGGAGCACCATGTGGGTGGCCTCCAGCTTCGATGCTGCTGCCATTCTGAACAGCCTTCACTGCACGCTTGTTCTAGGCTTATACTCCCCACTCACTCACTCCCAACACACTCCCCACTCACTGGCTGCCACCCTTGCCGGCAGACGAAGCGAGCACCACGTGGGTGGCCTCCAGCTTCGAAGCTGCTGTCTCAGCTTCACTCGGCCTCCACTCATTCCCATCTCACACACCCCAGCCCACTCCCCACTCACTGGCTGGCGCTCTTGCCGGCAGAGGAGGCGAGCACCGCGTGGGTGGCCTCCAGCTTCAACGCTGCTGCCATTCTGAACGACCTTCACTGCACGATTGTTCTTGTTCTAGCCTTATGCTCGCCACTCGCACTCCAACACTCACTGGCTGGCACCCTTGCCGGCAGAAGAGGCGAGCACCATGTGAGTGGCCTCCAGCTTCGACGCTGCCTCCAAAATGGCCGCCCCCGTGTCCTCGTTCTTTATCACATGCACCGTGGAGGGCAGCTAGCAGGGAGGGAGGGGGTGGGGGGTAAGAGAGGGGAGGAACATAAGCCCAGGGAGGCATGGATGCTAGGGAAGGGAAGGGAGGGGCGATGGCTGTTCCCGTGTCCTCGTCCTTGCACACATGCATGGGGGGGGGGACATGCTCTCTGAGCTACCTTATGCACCCAGCCCAACCACTAAGCAAGCATCTAAACCGACTCACTCACCCCTGCCTCGCCGCTGACGTCCTGCATGGCTTTGAAAAACGGTAGCACACCGTTGCTGCTCCGAGCTCTTTGCACCCAGCCCAACCCCTCTTGCACCCAGCCCAACCCCTCATGCACCCAGCACTACTCTGCATACATTTAATCCGAATCGCTCACCCCAGCCTCGTCGCTGACGTCCTGCATGGCCTCCAGGAACGGAAGCACGCGGTCGCAGATGTGCACCGCCACGCTCGGCCCGTCCGCCTCGCTTAGACGAACCTGCTTGCCCGCTGGACAAGGGGAGGTGTGAAGAGAGGGGAGATGGGGGGGGAGGGAGGGGGGTGGGAAGGGGGGGAGGACAATGAGAAGGGGCGTGCCGGCAGCACGCGGTCGCAGACGTGCACCGCTACACTGGGCCTGTCCGCCTCGCTCAAGCGCACCAGCTTGCCCGCTGCACAAGGGGAAGTGTGGAGGGGGAATAGGGGAACAATGAGAAGGGGCGTGCCGGCAGCACGCGGCCGCAGATGTGCACCGCCACGCTCAGGCCGTCCGCCTCGCTTAGACGCACCAGCTTGCCCGCTGGATAAGGGGAGGTGTGAAGAGGGGGGAGATGGGGGGGGAGGGAGGGGGGTGTGAAGGGGGGGAGGACAATGAGAAGGGGCGTGCCGGCAGCACGCGGCCGCAGATGTGCACCGCCGCGCTCGGGCCGTCCGCCTCGCTTAGACGCACCAGCTTGCCCGCTGGATAAGGGGAGGTGTGAAGAGGGGGGAGATGGGGGGCGGGGGGAGGGGGGTGGGAAGTGGGGGAGGACAATGAGAAGGGGTGTGTGTGCCGGCAGCACGCGGCCGCAGATGTGCACCGCCGCGCTCGGGCCGTCCGCCTCGCTCAGGCGCACCAGCTTGCCCGCTGCACGAGGGAAGCAGGGGGAAGGGATGCGCACGCAATGAGAAGGCGTGCGCTGTCAGCGCGCGATTGCAAACACGCGCGGGCCGGCCGCTGCGGTTAGGCGCACCAGCTGGCCTGGCCGCCGCTGGAGAGAAGGAAAAGGGAGGGGGAAATGCGCAATGAGAAGGGGGTTTTTGAGTCGATTAAAAAATTGACTCATCACACGAAGGAAAAGGGACGGGGAATGCGCAATGAGAAGGGTGCGCTGGCAGCGCGCGTAACAGATGTGCATCGCCACGCTCGTCCGTTTCAGATAGCCTAAGCGCATGTCACGCCGGCGGAATTGGAAGATTGGGGAAATGGGAGGACTGAGGGAAGAGGAACAAGAAATGCAAGGGCGTAAGCCGGCTGGCTGCACGCGGTCGCAGATAACCAGTACCACGCATCATGACCTGCCATCTGTCCCTGAGACGACATTTATGCCACGCCAGCAGAGTGCACGTGGCGAACCTGAGTTGCGAAGCTCGGTGACGACGTGCGTGAGCAAGAGGCAGACGGTTTTGTCTTGTCGTCGGCTGAACTCGCTGATCGTCCATTCTAACGCCTGCCGGCAATGCTGGTCGTCGCGCACCCCCACCAGAACCCTAATGTCGGACGTCAAATCAACAGCCATGTTCGATGAATTAAGGCGTCAAGAATATGTTATTCAGGCATAAGCTGAGGTCGGGATTTAGTCGCCTAGGCGTGAGCGTACTAAGAAAGCGATATCCATTAAATAATGCGGTACTAATGCGGATAATGCGGTACTAATGTGGATAATGCGGTACTAATGCTAAGTCAAATTTACTCAGTATCGGTAGTAAGGCTTATGATGTGAACGTGCTTGTGAAGGCTGGACAACAAGAAAGGGTCCTATGCAACAACGCGAAGCGGAATGCTGGAAATTATCGGACAGGCACTCACAGCGCGAAGCGCCCTGCCTCGAATGGCGGCTGTCTGAAAGATAAAACACGGAACGCCTAGTAAGAATCAACGAGGAAAAGCCATGAGTTCCAGTTGTAAGTCCACCTAACAACATCTGAATGCCAGTGGCTGGCCGAGCCGAGAACCAGTGGCAGCACAGACAGACATCCACTAGCGACCGCTGGGCCTCACGGCACTGAACCTATCGAATCATAATCCGCATTCGAAGTGTATCACACTTTGGTGGACAGTTCTTCTGGGCCTGGGGAGAATTAATTTCTTTTTATCGAGAACGCGCGACTGGGCTGATTTGTCACATTCACCCAAGCTGGTCCCGAAAGCCGCAAGCCCGCGAGTTTGCTACAGAACAGCACTGCTGTCAGAGTTGGTCACGGTGGTCCCCTGAGCAGCTTCCAGCAGTCACCTGGGGACACTGTCGACGTGTACGACCTTGGAGATGCCGTGCTGTCGCAAGGTGCGGAATAGGTTCGGTTTGATTAACACGAAGACTGTAAGGATTTACAGAATCCTTACTGGGGCACTCGTTAGCGAGGCCATCCCGAGGGTCACGCGACGAACCTGTCCTTCCTATTTCGTCGCACCGAACCACTCCCGAGTCGCCTCCGCACCAATCGCAACCATCACCGAGCCATCCTCACCCAACCTCTCCGCCTAGCTAGGACTTCCCCTATTTAGTCGTGACTTTCTCATTGTATCGTCATTCAGTAATTCGGTAATCAGTTCATTCTCGTTATTCGATATTCTGCGCACTCTGCAAGTTCATTCATAACAAAGACCTCGTCTGTTGTAACCAAGTTCGCCCAAATGAGTTTGCCGCTGCTTTATCCCTTGCCAAGTGTCAACTGTGGAACATGAGTTGCGATTTAGGCGGGGCTTCAGACTGCAGAAAAACCAGAGAATATTTGCTGTCTCTGTGTAACCAGAGCGTTCCCTGGTTCAAATCATTTTCAGTTCATCTTCGCTACCTCAAATGTTTCTGTATTTCAGAAACGACAATATTTACTTGTAGCCGTGTCGCAGGCAGCTCACTCGTGCGTACTGCGCCAAAGTTCTGGTTCTGCCATAATGGAATGGTGGTTGGTTGCTGCTCGCTGGCAGCAGATTTTCGAGGTGAGGGAAGGATGCACCGCCCAACGGCCAACCGAAATTCACCTCATCACCAGCGCAGCCAACCCTTCCCCGTCAGCGAAACGAAACTACCCGCCAAGCGCAACAGCCTGGGAGCCAGTCAGGCAGGTCCAGGCTTCAAAGCGGACGTCGTGATCAAATCGCTCAACTGGTTTCCAGTTCGCCCATTTCGCGCAGCACAGTGTGGCCCTGCCAGTTACCTCTGTCACTTGACTAAACAGTACCTGGCTGGCCTGGCCTGACCAAGCTTTCATTTCTATGGCGGAAAGGTGGAATCTTGCAGGCAGAAAACTCACGTTGCCAGCCATCAACCTTCCCCTGGCAAACCCTTGCCTGCTCCAACCGACATCTCTCTCATGTTCAGTTCAGAGAATGGCCTGAATCCTGCTGCTTCAAACTGTGGTTGTACGGAATGACATGCTGTGCAAGCAGTGAGGGTCAGCTATGGTAGGGTTGTGTGTAGGAGACTAAGCGCGCCACCAGTTTTGAGCTTTAGAACCTTGTACTTTAATCTCTGGAACTCAATCCGCATAGGGTTAGCTCTGGTAGGGTCTCCTCAGCATCAACGTCAGCATTAGCACCAGCACCAGCACCAGCATCAGCATCAGCATTACCGTTAGCATCAGCATTGGCATCGCCGTTAGCATCGAAACACGCCAGTCATGAGGTTACGGAGCCTGCATTCCACCCTGCTGCTTCTCGTCGTTTGCGCGCTAGCAGCGAATTATCCGCTACTCGCGGATTCGCGAGTGCTGTCAAGAGCCGAGATAGACAGAATCCAAGGTTAGTCGCGTTAAGTTGAGTAGTATTCAAGGTTAGTCGCTCCGACATGCGGTTTATTCAGCACAGTGTCGTGCGCTTTGGTCTGAGCCCCCAGCCCTGACGCAAACAGGAACCGTGGATAGGTTTGAGATTCAAACTGTTTACCGTGTGTTACGCCGCATCCTCATCGACGACCTATTCTAGTTTCCGTCACGTTTTCATCGATGTCAGTTTAACGTAGTTGCAACGAATCCTAGAAACGTGCTCAGGTCGTCGCCGAGACCACTTTCTTGGTCGCATTCTCGTCGCAGCCTGACTCTCTTGCGCCCAGTCCATCTCGCCACTTCGCATTCCCTTTCCCTGCGCGCTCTGCAAACGGTCATGCGGGTTTCTAGCACCAGCACCAGCTGTTACAAATCATGTAGATGCCCTCCCTCCCTCCCTCTCGCTCGCTCATGGCCCTCCCTCCTCCCCTAACCCCCGCGCAGCGGTGAAGGCGGCCGTTGACAGCCATGCGAGCGTGCTCGCGGGGGAGCGTTGGGTGCGCACCTATGGCAACTTCCGCGTGGCGCGGGAATTGAATATCGGCCAGACGCCTTCCGCCGCGCCTGGTACGCCGCATGTCACTGTGCTTCCGCCGCGAGTGTTTTGAGTCGTCTCAAAACACTTTTTTTATCACCTACGGCAACTTCCTCGTGGCGCGGGAAGTGAATATCGACCAGGCGCCTTCCGCCGCGCCTGGTATGCCGCGACTCACTTTGTTTCCGCGGCCGCTATGCGCCGTCGGTGCTCCTGATTACATTATTGACTTGCGCGCACCGTCACACTTCCCGCTCGTCTTCCGTCTCCTCCGCTCGTTCGTTCGTCCGCGCGCCGTCCCACCTCGTTTCTGAACTTCAATCCAACGCTTCCCGAACCTTTCCTCATCCTTCCCCCGCTCCTTTTGCCCCCCCTTCCCCCATTTCCCTCCCTCTCCTCCGCGTAGGGGGTCCGGTGGTGGCGGCGGCGGCATCGGCGGCGCGCGAATCCATTGGGCTGCTGGGAATCAAATCTTTCTCCACCCCTCATCCTCCCCCCGCTCTTCTCTTCCCCCCACCCTCCCCCCCACTTCCGTTTTTCGTAGAGGGCCCCGTGGTAGCGGCGGCATCTGCGGCGCGCGAATCCATCGGGCTGCTGGGAATCAAATCTTTCTTCGAAGACGCCGCTGATGCCGCCAGCGGCAATGGCGCCTCTGATCCCGCCAGCGCCGATAACGGCGCCGCAGCTACAGCCGGGCCGTTTGTTGCGGCGGGGAACGACGCGAGCGTCGCGAATGCGCTTGCGAACGGCGCGACGGACAGCAGCAGCGGAGCGTCGACCTCGTCGTTGCCCTCCTCCTCCTCCGCAGCTACCACCGGGCCGTTTGTGGCGGTGGGGAACGATGCGAGCGTCGCGAATGCTCTGGAGAACGGCGGAACTGACAGCAGCAGCGGAGCCTCGTCCTCCCCCTCCTCCTCGTCGTCGTCGTCGTCCCCGGATTCAGCCCCTGTGTTCAAGGCCAAGGGGTGGATGCTCCCTCACACCCAGCAGCGTGAGTTCTCCCCGCCATCTCTTATACCTATCCAACCCTACCACAGTGTACCCCGTCTGACACGGACCCACTACCGCAAGGCGGGCCCCCTGTGCCAAGACGTCCGTCCCTTCTTTCCCTCCCCTCTTCCTGTCTTCCTCCTCTCCTCCCCTCCTCGTTTCCTCCCTTGCTCCTCTCCTCCCTCGATCCTCTCCTCCCTCGACCCCTCCTCCCACCAGCGTCACATATTTCCCCCAAGTCCATCGCGTTCCACGGGGGGGCAGTCCTGTCAGACCCAATCACCGTCTACCTCATCTGGCACGGCACCTGGACGGACGAGCGCAAAGCTCCCCTCGTGTGCCGGTGAACGCGCGCTATTACATGTGTACCGTCTTCCCCTCTTCATGCCCTTCCTTCCCCATCACCAGCTTCGGATGCTTCCTCCAACCCCATCGCCTTCCACCGCGGCGCGGTCCTATCCGACCCAATCACCGTCTACCTCATCTGGCACGGCACCTGGACTTATGAGCGTCTTGCTTCCTTTCGTTCCCATCTTCCCCACACGGTCCCCATCTCTCCCCGTCCACTCGGCAGCTTCAGGTGTTGCCCAAAACCCCATCGCGTTCCACGGGGGGGCAGTCCTATCGGACCCAATCACCGTCTACCTCATCTGGCACGGCACCTGGACGGACGAGCGCAAGGCGCCCGTGCGCGCGTTCATTCGGTCGCTGGCGGACGCGGGCGCGGGCGGGGCGGGGGATGGCGCGGGGCGGAGCAGCGTGGCGGGGAGTGTGCGCGAGTGGTGGAACGTCAACCGGCTGTACCATTCGGGGCGCGAGCACGTCGCTGGGAGCATCGTTCTCGGGGTGCGTTTCTTAGCAAGGGCTGATTGGGCTGGCCTGGCAGCTTGCAAGGAAGGAGAAGCGGGATGGGTGGGAGGGACCCATGGGTAGAGAGGGTTGATGCGAGGGTTGATGAGGGGTGTTGGTTGTGTGGTGAGCATGGTGAATGGGGTGGGGCGGTTTGCTGCAGGGTGGTGGTTCGAGTGCATTCATTGCCGCTCTGCTGTGAGTGAGGCACAATGCCAGAATGTCTGATACTTCTCCTCACCCGTGCTGTGCTGTGCTGTGCTGTGCTGTGCTGTGCTGTGCTGTGCTGTGCTGTGCTGTGCTGTGCTGTGCTGTGCTGTGTTGTGCTGTGCTCTGGTGCAGACCCCCGAGGTGGAGATAGAGGCGGCGAGCAGTGGCGAGGGGCAGCCGCCCGCATCCAAGAACGAGATCAACGCCATCATCAACTACCAGGTGCGTCACAGTCACTCTGTTACAGAGCTACCACGCATTATCGCTCCCTTCTCTTCCTTGCCTCCCTTGCTTTCCAAGCTCTCACTCTCCCCCTCTCTCTCTCTCCATCTCTCTATCCCCCTCCATCCCCATCTCCCTTCCCGCTGCAGCTCCGTTCGCGCACGCTCCCCCGCCACGATTCAGCCATCTACGCAGTCTTCACCTCTGATTGACTTGCTCCCTCCTCCACTCACTCACTCCCCCTCTCACTCCCTCTTTCTCCCTCTCTCTATCCCCTCAATCCCCATCTCCTAAACAGCTCCGTTCGCGCACGCTCCCCCGCCACGATTCAGCCATCTACGCAGTCTTCACCTCTGATTGACTTGCTCCCTCCTCCACTCACTCACTCCCCCTCTCACTCCCTCTTTCTCCCTCTCTCTATCCCCTCAATCCCCATCTCCTAAACAGCTCCGTTCGCGCACGCTCCCCCGCCACGATTCAGCCATCTACGCAGTCTTCACCTCTGATGACATCGACATGGCCGGCTTTGGCTCGTCCTTTTGCGCCTTCCATGACGTCAGCACGGTGCACTTCACCTGGACGGGCATGCCGTCCAGGTTCATCCCCCAGTGCACGCATGCAGCCGCCCCAGGTAACACCTACCCCCACGGGGACAGGGCACTGGCTGGGCTGATCTCCAACTTCGCCCATGTGCTCGCCGCAGCTGCGGCGAATCCGAACCTGTTGTCTTGGTTCGACAAGGAGGGTCGGGAGGCCATGGGTCTGTGCGGTAACAACTTTGGCACGGTGTATACCAGTAGAGATCCGCTGCCGGTGGAGTACAATGCGGTGGGGAGGGGTGGAGAGCGGTTTCTGCTGCCCACGAACCTCAACCCTGTGACTGGTAGCTGCATGAACGGCCTGTCAGTCGCGCCGGGTCAATGCGGGCCCAAGTTTTTCGGATTCCCTTGTGACACAGTCACCGCGACCGAGGCTGACACCGAACCTGCTGCCGAAGCTGCCGCCGCAGGCTCGGACAGTCTGGGGAGTGGGGCAGGGTTGGGGTTGGGAGTGGTGGCAGCGAGTGTGTTTGGGGGAGAGGCGGAAAAAGCAGTGGTTGGTGGGGAGGGGGATGCAAGGAAAGTCAAGGACCCTCGAGTGGCTGAAGCAGAGGCAGCAGGGCTCGATCTATCAGTTGGGGGGAAGAACGTGGGGAGATTCTTAGAACCTGGACAGTTTGACCCGGCTAAGGGGGACAGAGACGAGGACGATGGGATCAAGGGGCAGGGTGCGGGAAGCACGGACGATTCAGGTGCGGGTGCGGGTTCGAACGTGTTTGAGAGCACGGGGTATGCGGATGGGGGTGAGAAGGAGAAGGAGGAGGAGAGGCACGAGGGAGGTGATGCGTATGGTGGTACGAAGGGTGGTGATCCGTTTGCTGTGGAAAGGGTAGGGGAAGAGGGGGTGGGGGCGGATGAGGAGGTGGGGACAGGCGAGAAGGTGGGAGCAGGTGCTGGCTCAGGGTCACAGGAGAATAGTGAGGCCAAGGGCCATGGTCATGGTGATGGTAATGGTGATGGTGATGGTGATGGTGATGGTGATGATGTGTTTCAGAGCACAGGGTACCCGGATGGCTCAGTGGACGAGGAGGAGAGCAAGCATAAGACAGGTGCTGGTGCAGGAGTTGAGGAGAAGAGTGAGGGCAGGGGAGACGGCGACAGTGATGGTGATGATGTGTTTCAGAGCACCTGGTACCCGGATGGCTCAGCGGACGAGGAGGTGGGGGCAGGGGAGGAAGTGGGGGCAGGCGCTGGTGCAGGAGCAGAGGAGAAGGGTGAGGGTAAGGGAGATGGTGACAATGATGAAGACGATGTGTTTCAGAGCACAGGGTACCCGGATGGCCCAGGGGACGAGGACGAGAGCAAGCATAAGGCAGGTGGTGGGGGAGGCGGGAGTGTGGGGGCGGAGGGGAAGGCTCAACCGGGGGAGGTGAACCCGTTTGTGCACCACTCCAACCCGGATGATGCTAATTCTGCTGCTGCTGCTGCTGCTTTGGCTGGGGGAGGTACTGCTGGTGGTGATGATGGTGGCAACGGGGAGGGTAGTACTAGTGAGGGTAGCACGGGGGATGATAGTGGCAGTGGCGTGGGTGCTGATGATGAGGAAACCAGTGAGAGTGGTGATGGGGACGTATTTGAGAGGCTTGGGTATTCTGAAGCGGGTGGGGACGTGGAGGGTGGGGAGGGAGGGGAGCAGGGTGAGGGGAGTGAGAAGGAGGATGGCAGTGGAGACGCCTCTAATGTGTTTGAAAACACAGGGTACCCCGATAGCGACCATGCCAGTGCTGCCAGTGCTGCTAGCAACGATGCACACCCATCAGCCCTGTTCCCAGGCGGCGACAGTGCACCGACTAATGTGTTCGATGACTTGGGGGACGGGGGCAGTGAGGAGGTGGGAGTGGACGGAGCGGGGGAGGGTAGCAGCAGCAAGGCGTCAGGGGGGTTGGTGTCGGGTGGGTTCCAGGCAGGGTTATCAGCGGGGTTTGAGTTTGATCTGTCGCAGTTCAAGCTGGGCGAGAGGGAAAGCCCTTCTGCTCCCCACTTGTTCCCCGACGCCGCCACTGCTGCGGCAGGGGGGGCGCAGGGGGAGGTGCAGCAGCCGCAGCAGCCGCCGCAGCAGCCGCAACAGCAGCAGGAGGGGGAGAAGTGGGTGTTTTCAGGAGTTTAGAGGGATTGGTGCACAGGAGGATTGCCGCTGGTGATCCACTCATGTTTCTGCTGCTTCAACTGCTTCGAGTGGGGCCGGCTGCTCTTGCTTCTCTTGCTGCTGGTGTGGCTTCTGTTGGAGAGTGGCATTGGCTGGATGCTGCTCTTCTCGATCATATAATAGTATATTTATTTTATTCAATCCGTTTGTGTGGTGGTGGCTGTGGTTGCACTGCAGTTTTTGTGCTCCATGTGACACACTATTGCTAATCTGATTGGAACGTGATATTGTACCTTGTGTGTTTTAGTCTCGCTTAGTCATGTGCACCTAGTGTACAGGCCTACCGTATATGGCAGTTCATAAGGTGTCTATTTTGCAGGCCACGTTAAGAGTTGAGGTAGCGTGAGTTCAACGTCAATAGTGATGTGCAAAAATATTCACGAAATTCACTGCGTGAGTCATGCCACTGTTATAAAACATTTCACGTTGGTGGTGGTGATCCCCGAGGTGTCTGCTACAGACGGGCGTATGTGTTTGAACGAGAACACTGTAGTGTCCTTATGGTTCATGCTGCTGTGTGTTACTCCACACCACGGCACACGGACGTGGATACCGTACGGTACTTCTGTAAACCTCAGTCTCTGAGTGGCAAGCATCAGCACGAGCAACAGCAGTGGCAGCAGCAGCAATAGCAGCGCGGTTGATCGCAGCGACTACGAGGTCCCAGAAGCCATGCACGTTCATGCTGCGAGCCACATGTGCGTTATATATACCCCTCGTTTCTCACTCCGTGCTGTACAAGCCGCAGCATGAGCAGCGGTGGCAGCAGCAGCAGTAGCAGCGCGGTCAATCGCAGAAACTATGAGGTCCCAGAATCCATGCACGTTCAGGCTGCGAGCCACATGCACGAATCCTTCTGTTGCTGCTGCTGCAGCATCACAGCCCAGTGAGCAACAGTTGCAACACGAGCAGCAGTAGCGTCAGCAGCGGTAGCAGCGTGGTGAATAGCAGCAACTAAGAGGTCCCAGAAGCCATCCACATCCATGCCGCGAGCCACATGCGCATTGGCTGGCCGCTTGCTTTGCCTCCACACGTCATACACTGTCTGCCCTGCTGAGGGCTGGAGCAGGGGGTGGGGATGGACATGGTGGGGATGGACATGGTGGGAGTGGATAGAAAGAGGGGGAGGGCGAGAGTGGGGAGAGGGCAGTGCAGCCGTGCTACCACACATCACACACTGTCTCTGGCCTGCTGACAACTAATGAGAGATTTTTTAGAATTTCTCAAAAACTGCTCATAGGCGCTCTCTGTTGGGCGCCTCTCTGTTGGGCGCCTCTCTGCTGGGCGCCTCTCTGCTGGGCGCCTCTCTGCTGGGCGCCTCTCTGTTGGGCGCCTCTCTGTTGGGCGCCTCTCTGCTGGGCGCCTCTCTGCTGGGCGCCTCTCTGCTGGGCGCCTCTCTGCTGGGCGCCTCTCTGTTGGGCGCCTCTCTGTTGGGCGCCTCTCTGCTGGGCGCCTCTCTGCTGGGCGCCTCTCTGCTGGGCGCCTCTCTGCTGGGCGCCTCTCTGTTGGGCGCCTCTCTGTTGGGCGCCTCTCTGCTGGGCGCCTCGCCTCTAAAAGGCGCCTCTCCTCTAAGAGGCGTCCCTCCTCTAAGAGGCGTCCCTCCTCTAAGAGGCGTCCCTCCTCTAAGAGGCGTCCCTCCTCTACGAGGCGCCTCTCCTCTAAGTGGTGCCCCTCCTCTAAGAGGCGTCCCTCCTCTAAGAGGCGTCCCTCCTCTAAGAGGCGTCCCTCCTCTAAGAGGCGTCCCTCCTCTAAGAGGCGTCCCTCCTCCAAGAGGCGTCCCTCCTCTAAGAGGCGCCTCTCCTCTAAGTGGTGCCCCTCCTCTAAGAGGCGCCCCTCCTCTTTGAGTGGGTAAATTGTTGAGCGTTGGCGGGTGGGTGGATTGGTGAGTGGGGCCGGATGGGTGGATGAGTTAGTGCGGACGGGTGGGTGGATGGGTGAGCGTGGGAGGGTTGGTGGAAGGTTGAGCATTGGCGGGTTGGTGGATGGGTGAGTGGGGGCGGGTGGGTGGATGGGTGAGCGTGGGAAGGTTGGTGGATGGTTGAGTGTTGGCGGGTGGGTGGATGGGTGAGTGGGGTCGGGTGGGTGGATGGGTGAATGTGGGCGGGTGGGTGGATGGATGGATGAGTGTGGGTGGGTGGGTGGATGGGTGAGTGTGGGGGGCGTAGGTGGATGGATGAGTGTGGGCAGGAGGGTGAATGGGTGAGTTTAGGCGGGTGGGTGGATGGGTGGTGAGGGTGGATGGGCGGTGTGGGCGGATGGGTGGTGTGGGCGGATGGGTGAGTGTGGGCGGGTGGGTGGATCGATGAGTGTGGAAGGGTGGGTGGATGGGTGAGTGTGGGCGGGTGGGTGGATGGGTGAGTGTGGGCGGGTGGGTGGATCGATGAGTGTGGGAGGGTGGGCGGATGGGTGAGTGTGGGCGTCTGTGTGTGGGTGTGAGTGTATGTAAGAACGAGTGCGAGTGAGTGCAATGGAGTGCAACTGGGTGTGAGTGTGTGCGAGAGTGAATGAGTGTAAGTGAGTGAGGGATTGCGAATGAGTGTGTGCGACTGTGTGTGAATGTCAATGAGTGTGTGCAAGTGTGTGGATTGGTGCAAATGAAGTAGGCGTATGCAAATGAATGTGTGCCATTGTGTGCAAGTGCGAATGAGGGAGAGTGAGCGAAAGTGTGTGGGAGTGTGCGGGAGCGTGTGCGAGTGTGTGCGAGTGTGTGAAAGTGTGTGCGAGTGTGTGCGAGTGTGTGCGAGTGTGTGGGAGTGCATGCGAAAGGGGAGACGACATGAGGTTGAGGCAACAAGAGGGTGGCGACAAGGGGAGGACACAATTTGAACGAGAGGCGGCTTTGAAAAAAAGACCAACATGAAGGCAGAGCGGAAACAGTACGGGCAAGAAACATGAGCAGGAAGACGTGGAGTGCAAAGATGAGGGCAGGAGTGAAGAGGAGGTGGGGGAATGAGAGGAGTTAGGCATGAAGGGTTGGCGCAGAAGCCCCGTGGAACGCATGAGATGAGTGGCGGTGTGCAACGGTGAGCAGAGCAGCAGCGCAGAGCAGATGAGATGAGGGATGCACACAGTGGGCGGGATGGCGGCGGAGACAAGCGCCCAGGACGACCACACCACTCTCGCCTGCCTTCTCACACGCCCTGCACACATCTCTGTGTGCAGTGAAGAAAAACCAAGGAAACCAATGTGACTGCAGAGCGAAAGCAACAACGGGCAAACAACATGAGCAAGAATAAGAGTAGGCAAAAGAGAGCATGGCGTGAAATGGCAAGTGCATTGGGGGGGGGGGGGAGGGGGAACGGGGCGGGAAGGACATGGCAACAGCAGCGCAGAGGAGTGGCGCCCGAGTCACACCACAGAGGAGTGGCGCCCGGGTCACACCACAAAGGAGTGGCGCCCGAGTCACACCACAGAGGAGTGTCGCCCGAGTCACACCACAGAGGAGTGGCGAGGAGTGGCGCCCGAGTCACACCACAGAGGAGTGGCACCCGAGTCACACCACAGAGGAGTGGCGCCCGAGTCACACCACAGAGGAGTGGCGCCCGAGTCACACCACAGAGGAGTGGCGCCCGAGTCACACCACAGAGGAGTGGCGCCCGAGTCACACCACAGAGGAGTGGCGCCCGAGTCACACCACAGAGGAGTGGCGCCCGAGTCACACCACAGAGGAGTGGCGCCCGAGTCACACCACAGAGGAGTGGCGCCCGAGTCACACCACAGAGGAGTGGCGCCCGAGTCACACCACAGAGGAGTGGCGCCCGAGTCACACAACAGAGGAGTGGCGCCCGAGTCACACACAGAGGAGTGGCGCCCGAGTCACACCACAGAGGAGTGGCGCCCGAGTCACACGACAGAGGACCCATTCTCCCGCTTTCCATCACCCAGCCCCATTCTCCCGCTTTCCATCACCCCGCCCCATTCTCCCGCTTTCCACCACCCCGCCCCATTCTCCCGCTTTCCATCACCCCGCCCCATTCTCCCGCTTTCCATCACCCAGCCCCATTCTCCCGCTTTCCATCACCCCGCCCCATTCTCCCTCCTTCCATCACCCCGCCCCATTCTCCTGCTTTCCATCACCCCGTCCCATTCTCCCTCCTTCCATCACCCCGCCCCATTCTCCCTCCTTCCATCACCCCGCCCCATTCTCCCGCTTTCCATCAGCCCGCCCCGTTCTCCCGCTTCCCATAACCCCACCCCCTTCTCCCGCTTTCGATCACCCCGCCACATTCTCCCGCTTTCTATCACCCCGCCCCATTCTCCCTCCTTCCATCACCCCGCCCCATTCTCCCGCTTTCCATCACTCCGCCCCATTCTACCGCTTTCCATCATCCCGCCCCATTCTCCCTCCTTCCATCACCCCGCCACATTCTCCCGCTTTCCATCACTCCGCCCCATTCACCCTCCTTCCATCACCCCGCCCCATTCTCCCTCCTTCCATCACCCCGCCCCATTCTCCCGCTTTCCATCACCCCGCCCCATTCTCCCGCTTCCCATAACCCCACCCTATTCTCCCGCTTTCCATCACCCCGCCACATTCTCCCACTTTCCATCACCCCGCCCCCTTCTCTCTCCCTCCATCACCCCGCCCCATTCTCCCTCCTTCCATCACCCCGCCCCATTCTCCCGCTTTCCATCAGCCCGCCCCATTCTCCCGCTTTCCATCACCCCTCCCCTTTCTCCCACTTTCCATCTCCCCGCCCCATTCTCCCGCTTTCCATCACCCCGCCCCATTCTCCCGCTTTCCATCACCCCGCCCCATTCTTCCGCTTCCCATCATCCCGCCCCATTCCCCCGCTTTCCATCTCCCCTCCCCATTCTCCCTCCTTCCATCACCCTGCCCCATTCTCTCGCTTTCCATCACCCCGCCCCATTCTCCTGCTTTCCATCACGCCGCCCCATTCTCCCGCTTTCCATCACCTCGCCCCATTCTCCCACTTTCCATCACCCCAGCCCATTCTTCCTCCTTCCATCACCCCGCCCCATTCTCCCGCTGTCCATCACCCCGCCCTATTCTCCCTCCTTCCATCACCCCGCCCCATTCTCCCTCATTCCATCACCCCGCCCCATTCTCCCGCTTTCCATCACCCCGCCCCATTCTCCCTCCTTCCATCACCCCGCCCCATTCTCCCTCATTCCATCACCCCGCCCCATTCTCCCGCTTTCCATCATCCCGCCCCATTCTCCCTCCTTCCATCACCCCGCCCCATTCTCCCGCTTTCCATCACTCCGCCCCATTCTCCCTCCTTCCATCACCCCGCCCCATTCTCCCTCCTTCCATCACCCCGCCCCATTCTCCCGCTTTCCATCACCCCACCCCATTCTCCTGCTTTCCATCACCCCGTCCCATTCTCCCTCCTTCCATCACCCCGCCCCATTCTCCCTCCTTCCATCACCCCGCCCCATTCTCCCGCTTTCCATCAGCCCGCCCCATTCTCCCGCTTCCCATAACCCCACCCCCTTCTCCCGCTTTCCATCACCCCGCCACATTCTCCCGCTTTCTATCACCCCGCCTAATTCTCCCTCCTTCCATCACCCCGCCCCATTCTCCCGCTTCCCATAACCCCACCCCATTCTCCCGCTGTCCATCACCCCGCCACATTTTCCCACTTTCCATCACCCCGCCCCCTTCTTTCTCCTTCCATCACCCCGCCCCATTCTCCCTCCTTCCATCACCCCGACCCATTCTCCCGCTTTCCATCAGCCCACCCCATTCTCCCGCTGTCCATCACTCTGCCCCTTTCTCCCGCTTTCCATCACCCTGCCCCATCCTCCCGCTTTCCATCACCCCGCCCCATTCTCCCGCTTTCCATCACCCCGCCCCTTTCTCCCGCTTTCCATCACTCCGCCCCATTCTCCCGCTTTCCATCACCCCGACCCATTCTCCCACTTTCCATCACCCCGCCCCATTCTCCCTCCTTCCATCACCCCGCCTCATTCTCCCTCCTTCCATCACCCCGCCCCATTCTCCCGCTTTCCATCACCCCGCCCCATTCTCCCGCTTTCCATCACTTAGCCCCATTCTCCCGCTTACCATCACCAGGCCCCATTTTCCCGCTTTCCATCATCCCGCCCCATTCTCCCGCTTTCCATCACCCTGCCCCAATCTCCCGCTTTCCATCACCCAGCCCCATTCTCCCTCCTTCCATCACCCCGCCCCATTCTCCCGCTTTCCATCACCCCGCCCCATTCTCCCGCTTTTCATCACCCAGCCCCATTCTCTCGCTTTCTATCACCCCGCCCCATTCTCCCGCTTTCCATCACCCCGCCCCATTCTCCCGCTTTCCATCACCCCGCCCCATTCTCCCTCCTTCCATCACCCCGCCCCATTCTCCCGCTTTCCATCACCCCGCCCCATTCTCCCTCCTTCCATCACCCCGCCCCATTCTCCCTCCTTCCATCACCCCGCCCCATTCTCCCGCTTTCCATCACCCCGCCCCATTCTCCCGCTTCCCATAACCCCACCCCATTCTCCCGCTTTCCATCACCCCGCCACATTTTCCCACTTTCCATCACCCCGCCCCCTTCTTCCTTCTTCCATCACCCCGGCCCATTCTCCCTCCTTCCTTCACCCCGCCCCATTCTCCCGCTTTCCATCACCCTGCCCCATTCTCCCGCTTTCCATCACAGCGCCCCATTCTCCCGCTTTCCAACACCCCGCCCCATTCTTCCGCTTCCCATCATCCCGCCCCATTCCCCCGCTTTCCATCACCCCTCCCCATTCTCCCTCCTTCCATCACCCCGCCCCATTCTCCTACTTACCATCACCCGCCCCATTCTCCCCCTTTCCATCACCTTGCCCCATTCTCCCGCGTTCCATCACCCCGCCCCATTCTTCTGCTTTCCATCACCCCGCCCCATTCTCCCGCTTTCCATCACCCTGCCCCATTCACCCGCTTTCCATCACCCGCCCCATTCTCCCGCTTTCCATCACCCCGCCCCGTTCTCCCGCTTTCCATCACCCCGCCCCATTCTCCCGCTTTTCATCACCCCGCCCCATTCTCCCGCTTTCCAACACCCCAGCCCATTCTCTCGCTTTCCATCACCCCGCCCCCTTCTTCCTCCTTCCATCACCCGCCCCATTCTCCCGCTTTCCATCACCCCGCTCCATTCTCCCGCTTTCCATCTCCCTGCCCCATTCTCCCGCTTTCCATCACCCCGCCCCATTCTCCCGCTTTCCATCACCCCTCCCCATTCTCCCGCTTCCCATCATCCCGCCCCATTCCCCCGCTTTCCATCACCCCTCCCCATTCTCCCTCCTTCCATCACCCCGCCCCATTCTCCCGCTTTCCATCACCCCGCCCCATTCTCCCTCCTTCCATCACCCCGCCCCATTCTCCCTCCTTCCATCACCCCGCCCCATTCTCCCGCTTTCCATCACCCTGCCCCATTCTCCCGCTTCCCATAACCCCACCCCATTCTCCCGCTTTCCATCACCCCGCCACAATCTTCCACTTTCCATCACCCTGCACCCTTCTCTCTCCTTCCATCACCCCGCCCCATTCTCCCTCTTTCCATCACCCCGCCCCATTCTCCCGCTTTCCATCAGCCCGCCCCATTCTCCCGCTTTCCATCACCCTGCCCCATTCTCCCGCTTTCCATCACCCCGCCCCATTCTTCCGCTTCCCATCATCCCGCCCCATTCCCCCGCTTTCCATCACCCCTCCCCATTCTCCCTCCTTCTATCACCCCGCCCCATTCTCTCGCTTTTCATCACCCCACCCCATTCTCCCGCTTTCCATCACCCGACCCATTCTCCCGCTTTCCATCACCCCGCCCCATTCTCCCTCCTTCCATCACCCCGCCCCATTCTCCTGCTTTCCATCACCCCGCCCCATTCTCCCTCCTTCCATCACCCCGCCCCATTCTCCCTCATTCCATCACCCCGCTCCATTCTCCCGCGTTCCATCACCCCGCCCCATTCTCCCGCTTCCCATCATCCCGCCCCATTCCCCCGCTTTCCATCACCCCTCCCCATTCTCCCCTCTTCCATCAACCCGCCCCATTCTCCCGCTTTCCATCACCCCGCCCCATTCTCCCTCCTTCCATCACCCCGCCCCATTCTCCCTCCTTCCATCACCCCGCCCCATTCTCCCGCTTTCCATCACCCCGCCCCATTCTCCCGCTTCCCATAACCCCACCCCATTCTTCCGCTTTCCATCACCCCGCCACAGTCTTCCACCTTCCATCACCCCGCCCCCTTCTCTCTCCTTCCATCACCCCGCCCCATTCTCCCTCCTTCCATCACCCCGCCCCATTCTCCCGCTTTCCATCAGCTCGCCCCATTCCCCCGCTTTCCATCATCCCTCCCCTTTCTCCCGCTTTCCATCTCCCCGCCCCATTCTCCCGCTTTCCATCACCCCGCCCCATTCTCCCGCTTTCCATCACCCCGCCCCATTCTTCCGCTTCCCATCATCCCGCCCCATTCCCCCGCTTTCCATCACCCCTCCCCATTCTCCCTCCTTCTATCACCCCGCCCCATTCTCTCACTTTCCATCATTCCGCCCCATTCTCCCGCTTTCCATCACCCCGACCCATTCTCCTGCTTTCCATCACCCCGCCCCATTCTCCCTCCTTCCATCACCCCGCCCCATTCTCCCGCTTTCCATCACTCGCCCCATTCTCCCTCCTTCCATCACCCCGCCCCATTCTCCCGCTTTCCATCAGCCCACCCCATTCTCCCGCTTTCCATCACCCCGCCCCTTTCTCCCGCTTTCCATCTCCCCGCCCCATTCTCCCGCTTTCCATCACACCGCCCCATTCTCCCGCTTTCCATCACCCCGCCCCATTCTTCCGCTTCCCATCATCTCGCCCCATTCCCCCGCTTTCCATCACCCCTCCCCATTCTCCCTCCTTCCATCACCCCGCCCCATTCTCCCACTTTCCATCACCCGCCCCATTCTCCCGCTTTCCATCACCTCGCCCCACTCTCCCGCTTTCCATCACCCCCCCCCATTCTTCTGCTTTCCATCACCCCGCCCCATTCTCCCGCTTTCCATCACCCTGCCCCATTCTCCCGCTTTCCATCACCCCGCCCCATTCTCCCGCTTTCCAATACCCGCCCCATTCTCCTGCTTTCCATCACCCCGCCCCATTCTCCCGCTTTCCATCACCCCGCCCCATTCTCCCGCTTTCCATCACCCCGCCCCATTCTCCCGCTTTCCAACACCCCAGCCCATTCTCTCGCTTACCATCACCCCGCCCCCTTCTTCCTCCTTCCATCACCCCGCCCCATTATCCCTCCTTCCTTCACCCCGCCCCATGCTCCCGCTTTCCATCACCCTGCCCCATTCTCCCGCTTCCCATCACGCCGCCCCATTCTCCCGCTTTTCCATCACCCCGCCCCATTCTCCCTCCTTCCATCACCCCGCCCCATTCTCCCGCTTTCCATCATCCGGCCCCCTTCTCCCTCTTTCCATCACCCCGCCCCATTCTCCCTCCTTCCATCACCCCGCCCCATTCTCCCGCTTTCCATCAGCCTGCCCCATTCTCCCGCTTTCCATCACCCCGCCCCTTTCTCCCGCTTTCCATCTCCGTGCCCCATTCTCCCGCTTTCCATCACCCCGCCCCATTCTCCCGCTTTCCATCACCCCGCCCCATTCTCCCGCTTCCCATCATCCCGCCCCATTCTCCCGCTTTCTATCACCCCGCCCCATACTCCTTCCTTCCATCACCCCGCCCCATTCTCCCACTTTCCATCACCCCGCCCCATTCTCCCGCTTTCCACCACCCCGCCCCCTTCTCCCTCCTTCCATCACCCCGCCCCATTCTCCCTCCTTCCATCACCCCGCCCCATTCTTCCGCTTTTCATCAGCCCGCCCCATTCTCCCGCTTTCCATCACCCCGCCCCTTTCTCCCGCTTTCCATCTCCCTGCTCCATTCTCCCGCTTTCCATCACCCCGCCCCATTCTCCCGCTTTCCATCACCCCGCCCCATTCTCCCGCTTCCCATCATCCTGCCCCATTCCCCCGCTTTCCATCACCCCTCCCCATTCTCCCCTCTTCCATCACCCCGCCCCATTCTCCCGCTTTCCATCACCCCGCCCCATTCTCCCTCCTTCCATCACCCCGCCCCATTCTCCCTCCTTCCATCACCCCGCCCCTTTCTCCCGCTTTCCATCACCCCGCCCCATTCTCCCGCTTCCCATAACCCCACCCCATTCTCCCGCTTTCCATCACCCCGCCACAGTCTTCCACCTTCCATCACCCCGCCCCCTTCTCTCTCCTTCCATCACCCCGCCCCATTCTCCCTCCTTCCATCACCCCGCCCCATTCTCCCGCTTTCCATCAGCTCGCCCCATTCTCCCGCTTTCCATCATCCCTCCCCTTGCTCCCGCTTTCCATCTCCCCGCCCCATTCTCCCGCTTTCCATCACCCCGCCCCATTCTCCCGCTTTCCATCACCCCGCCCCATTCTCCCTCCCTCCATCACCCCGCCCCATTCTCCCGCTTTCCATCACCCCGCCCCATTCTCCCTCCTTCCATCACCCCGCCCCATTCTCCCGCTTTCCATCACCCTGCCCCATTCCTCCGCTTTCCATCACCCCGCACCATTCTCCCGCTTTCCATCACCCCGCCCCATTCTCCCGCTTTCCATCACCCTGCCCCATTCTCCCGCTTTCCATCACCCCGCGCCATTCTTCCGCTTTCCTTCACCCTGCCCCCTTCTCCCTCCTTCCATCACCCCGCCCAATTCTCCCTCCTTCCATCACCCCGCCCCATTCTCCCGCTTTCCATCAGCCCGCCCCATTCTCCCGCTTTCCATCACCCCGCCCCTTTCTCCCGCTTTCCATCTCCCTGCCCCATTCTCCCGCTTTCCATCACCCCGCCCCATTCTCCCGCTTTCCATCACCCCGCCCCATTCTCCCGCTTCCCATCATCCCGCCCCATTCCCCCGCTTTCCATCACCCCTCCCCATTCTCCCTCCTTCCATCACCCCGCCCCATTCTCCCGCTTTCCATTACATGCCCCATTCTCCCGCTTTCCATCACCCCGCCCCATTCTCCCGCTTTCCATCACCCAGCCCCATTCACCCGCTTTCCATCACCCGCCCCATTCTCCTGCTTTCCATCACCCCGCCCCATTCTCCCACTTTCCATCACCCCGCCCCATTCTCCCGCTTTTCATCACCCCGCCCCATTCTCCCGCTTTCCAACACCCCACCCCATTCTCCCGCTTTCCATCACCCCGCCCCATTCTCCCGCTTTCCATCACCCCGCCCCATTCTCCCTCCTTCCATCACCCCGCCTCATTCTCCCTGCTTCCATCACCCCGCCCCATTCTCCCGCTTTCCATCACCCCGCCCCATTCTCCCGCTTTCCATCACCCAGCCCCATTCTCCCACTTTCCATCACCCCGCCCCATTTTCCCGCTTTCTATCACCCTGCCCCATTCTCACGCTTTCCATCACCCTGCCCCAATCTCCCGCTTTCCATCACCCCGCCCCATTCTCCCTCCTTCCATCACCCCGCCCCATTCTCCCACTTTCCATCACCCCGCCCCATTCTCCCGCTTTCCATAACCCTGCCCCATTCTCCCTCCTTCCATCACCCGCCCCGTTCTCCCTCCTTCCATCACCCCGCCCCTTTCTCCCTCCTTCCATCACCCCGCCCTATTCTCCCGCTTTCCATCAGCCCGCCCCATTCTCCCGCTTTCCATCACCCCGCCCCATTCTCCCGCCTTCCATCACCCCGCCCCATTCTCCCGCTTTCCATCACCCCGCCCCATTCTCCCGCTTTCGATCACCCCACCCCATTCTCCCGCTTTCCATCACCCCGCCCCATTCTCCCGCTTTCCATCACCCCGCCCCATTCTCCCGCTTTCCATCTCCCCGCCCTATTCTCCCTCCTTCCATCACCCCGCCTCATTCTACCTCCTTCCATCACCCCGCCCCATGCTCCCGCTTTCCATCACCCCGCCCCATTCTACCGCTTTCCATCACCCCACCCCATTCTCCCTCCTTCCATCACCCCGCCCCATTCTCCTGCTTTCCATCAGCCCACCCCATTCTCCCGCTTTCCATCTCCCCGCCCCATTCTCCCTCCTTCCATGACCCCGCCTCATTCTACCTCCTTCCATCACCCCGCCCCATGCTCCCGCTTTCCATCACACCGCCCGATTCTCCCGCTTTCAATCACCGCGCCCTATTCTCCTGCTTTCCATCACCCCGCCCCATTCTCCCGCTTTCCATTACCCCTCCCCATTCTCCCTCCTTCCATCACCCCGCCCCATTCTCCCGCTTTCCATCACCCCGCGCTATTCTCCCTCCTTCCATCACCCCGCCCCATTCTCCCGCTTTCCATCACCCCGCCCCATTCTCCCGCTTCCCACAACCCTACCTCATTCTCCCGCTTTCCATCAACCCCCCACATTCTCCCGCTTTCCATCACCCCGCCCCATTCTCCATCCTTCCATCGTCCCGCCCCATTCTCCCGCTTTCCATCACCCCGCCCCATTCTCCCGCTTTCCATCACGCCGCCCCCTTCTCCCTCCTTCCATCACCCCGCCTCATTCTACCTCCTTCCATCACCCCGCCCCATGCTCCCGCTTTCCATCACCCCGCCCCATTCTACCGCTTTCCATCACCCCACCCCATTCTCCCTCCTTCCATCAACCCGCCCCATTCTCCTGCTTTCCATCAGCCCACCCCATTCTCCCGCTTTCCATCTCCCCGCCCCATTCTCCCTCCTTCCATGACCCCGCCTCATTCTACCTCCTTCCATCACCCCGCCCTATGCTCCCGCTTTCCATCACACCGCCCCATTCTCCCGCTTTCGATCACCGCGCCCCATTCTCCTGCTTTCCATCACCCCGCCCCATTCTCCCGCTTTCCATTACCCCGCCCCATTCTCCCTCCTTCCATCAACCCGCCCCATTCTCCCGCTTTCCATCAGCCCGCCTCTTTCTCCCGCTTTCCATCTCCCTGCCCCATTCTCCCGCTTTCCATCAACCCGCCCCATTCTCCCGCTTTCCATCACCCCGCCCCATTCTCCCGCTTCCCATCATCCCGCCCCATTCCCCCGCTTTCCATCACCCCTCCCCATTCTCCCTCCTTCTATCACCCCGCCCCATTCTCCAGCTTTCCATTACCCGCCCCATTCTCCCGCTTTCCATCACCTTGCCCCATCTCCCTCTTTCCATCACCCCGCCCTATTCTTCTGCTTTCCATCACCCCGCCCCATTCTCCTGCTTTCCATCACCCCGCCCCATTCACCCGCTTTCCATCACCCCGCTCCATTCTCCCGCTTTCCATCACTCCGCCCCATTCTCCCGCTTTACATCACCCCGCCCCATTCTCCTGCTTTCCATCACCCCGCCCCATTCTCCCTCCTTCCATCACTCCGCCTCATTCTCCCTCCTTCCATCACCCCCCCCCATTCTCCCGCTTTCCATCACCCCGCCCTATTCTCCCGCTTTCCATCACCGAGCCCCATTCTCCCACTTTCCATCACCCCGCCTTATTTTCCCGCTTTCTATCACCCCGCCCCATTCTCACGCTTTCCATCACCATGCCCCAATCTCCCGCTTTCCATCACCCCGCCCCATTCTCCCTCCTTCCATCACCCCGCCCCATGCTCCCGCTTTCCATCACCCCGCCCCATTCTCCCGCTTTCCATAACCCCGCCTCATTCTCCCTCCTCCCATCACCCGCCCCATTCTCCCTCCTTCCATCACCCCGCCCCATTCTCCCTCCTTCCATCACCCCGCCCCATGCTCCCGCTTTCCATCACACCGCCCGATTCTCCCGCTTTCAATCACCGCGCCCTATTCTCCTGCTTTCCATCACCCCGCCCCATTCTCCCGCTTTCCATCACCCCGCCCCATTCTCCCTCCTTCCATCACCCCGCCTCATTCTACCTCCTTCCATCACCCCGCCCCATGCTCCCGCTTTCCATCACCCCGCCCCATTCTCCCGCTTTTCATCACCCGCCCCATTCTCCCACTTTCCATCACCCCGCCCCATTCTCCCGCTTTCCATCACCCTGCCCCATTCTCCCTCCTTCCATCACCCCGCCCCATTCTCTCGCTTTCCATCAGCCCACCCCATTCACCCGCTTTCCATCACACCGCCCCATTCTCCCGCTTTCCATCACCCCGCCCCATTCTCCCGCTTTCCATCACCCCGCCCCATTCTCCCATCACCCCGCCCCATTCTCCCGCTTTCCATCACCACGCCCCATTCTCCCGTTTTCCATCACCCCGCCCCATTCTCCCGCTTTCCATCACTACGCCCCATTCTCCCGCTTTCCATCACCCCGCCCCATTCTCCTGCTTTCCATCACCCCGCCCCATTCTTCTCCTTCCATCACCCCGCCTCATTCTACCTCCTTCCATCACCCCGCCCCATTCTCCCGCTTTCCATCACCCCGCCCCATTCTCCCGCTTTCCATCACCCCGCCCCATTCTCCCGCTCTCCATCACCACGCCCCATTCTCCCACTTTCCATCACCCCGCCCCATTCTCCCTCCTTCCATCACCCTGCCCCATTCTCCCGCTTTCCGTCACCCCGCCCCATTCTCCTGCTTTCCATAACCCCGCCCCATTCTCCCGCTTTCCATCACCCCGCCACATTCTCCCACTTTCCATCACCCCGCCCCATTCTCCCTCCTTCCATCACCCCGCACCATTCTCCCTCCTTCCATCACCCCGCCCCATTCTCCTTCCTTTGATCACCCCGCCCCATTCTCCCGCTTTCCATCAGCCCTCCCCATTCTCCCGCTTTCCATCACCCCGCCCCATTCTCTCGCTTTTCATCACCCCACCCCATTCTCCCGCTTTCCATCACCCCGCCCCCTTCTCCCTCCTTCCATCACCCCGCCCCATTCTCCCTCCTTCCATCACCCCGCCCCATTCTCCCACTTTCTATCAGCCCGCCCCATTCTCCCGCTTTCCATCACCCCGCCCCTTTCTCCCGCTTTCCATCTCCCCGCCCCATTCTCCCGCTTTCCATCACCCCGCCCCATTCTCCCGCTTTCCATCACCCCGCCCCATTCTCCCACTTTCCATCACCCCACCCCATTCTCCCTCCTTCCATCACCCCGCCTCATTCTACCTCCTTCCATCACCCCGCCCCATGCTCCCGCTTTCCATCACCCCGCCCCATTCTCCCGCTTTTCATCACCCCGCCCCATTCTCCCGCTTTCCATCACCCTGCCCCATTCTCCCGCTTTCCATCACCCCGCCCCATTCTCCCTCCTTCCATCACCCCGCCCCATTCTCCCATCACCCCGCCCCATTCTCCCGCTTTCCATCACCACGCCCCATTCTCCCGCTTTCCATCACCCCGCCCCATTCTCCCGCTTTCCATCACTCCGCCCCATTCTCCCGCTTTCCATCACCCCGCCCCATTCTCCCGCTTTCCATCATCCCGCCCCATTCTTCTCCTTCCATCACCCCGCCTCATTCTACCTCCTTCCATCACCCCGCCCCATTCTCCCGCTTTCCATCACCCCGCCCAATTCTCCCGCTTTCCATCACCCCGCCCCATTCTCCCGCTTTCCATCACCACGCCCCATTCTCCCGCTTTCCATCACCCCGCCCCATTCTCCCTCCTTCCATGACCCTGCCCCATTCTCCCGCTTTCCGTCACCCCGCCCCATTCTCCCGCTTTCCATAACCCCGCCCCATTCTCCCGCTGTCCATCAACCCGCCACATTCTCCCACTTTCCATCACCCCGCCCCATTCTCCCGCCTTCCATCACCCCGCCCCATTCTTCCGCTTTCCATCACCCCGCCCCATTCTCTCACTTTCCATCACCCCACCCCATTCTCCCGCTTTCCATCACCCCGCCCCCTTCTCCCTCCTTCCATCACCCTGCCCCATTCTCCCTCCTTACATCACCCCGCCCCATTCTCCCACTTTCTATCAGCCCGCCCCATTCTCCCGCTTTCCATCTCCCCGCCCCTTTCTCCCGCTTTCCATCACCCTGCCCCATTCTCCTGCTTTCCATCACCCCGCCCCATTCTCCCGCTTCCCATCATCCCGCCCCATTCCCCCGCTTTCCATCACCCCTCCCCATTCTCCCTCCTTCCATCACCCCGCCCCATTCTCCCGCTTTCCATCACCCCGCCCCGTTCTCCCGCTTTCCATCACCCCGCCCCATCCTCCCGCTTTTCATCACCCCGCCCCATTCTCCCGCTTTCCAACACCCCGCCCCGTTCTCCCGCTTTCCATCACCCCAACCCATTCTCCCGCTTTCCATCACCTCGCCCCATTCTCCCGCTTTCCATCACTCCGTCCCATTCTCCCGCTTTCCATCACCCCGCCCCATTCTCCCGCTTTCCATCAACCCGCTCCATTCTCCCTCCTTCCATCACCCCGCCTCATTCTCCCTCCTTCCATCACCCCACCCCATTCTCCCGCTTTCCATCACCCCGCCCCATTCTCCCGCTTTCCATCACCCCGCCCCATTCTCCCGCTTTCCATCACCCTCCCCCATTCTCCCGCTTTCCATCACCACAGCCCATTCTCCCTCCTTCCATCACCCCGCCCCATGCTCCCGCTTTCCATCACCCCGCCCCATTCTACCGCTTTCCATCACCCCACCCCCTTCTCCCTCCTTCCATCACCCCGCCCCATTCTCCTGCTTTCCATCAGCCCACCCCATTCTCCCGCTTTCCATCTCCCCGCCCCATTCTCCCTCCTTCCATGACCCCGCCTCATTCTACCTCCTTCCATCACCCCGCCCCATGCTCCCGCTTTCCATCACACCGCCCGATTCTCCCGCTTTCGATCACCGCGCCCTATTCTCCTGCTTTCCATCACCCCGCCCCATTCTCCCGCTTTCCATCACCCCGCGCCATTCTCCCTCCTTCCATCACCCCGCCCCATTCTCCCGCTTTCCATCACCCCGCGCTATTCTCCCTCCTTCCATCACCCCGCCCCATTCTCCCGCTTCCCATAACCCTACCTCATTCTCCCGCTTTCCATCACCCCGCCCCATTCTCCATCCTTCCATCGTCCCGCCCCATTCTCCCGCTTTCCATCACCCCGCCCCATTCTCCCGCTTTCCATCACGCCGCCCCCTTCTCCCTCCTTCCATCACCCCGCCTCATTCTACCTCCTTCCATCACCCCGCCCCATGCTCCCGCTTTCCATCACCCCGCCCCATTCTACCGCTTTCCATCACCCCACCCCATTCTCCCTCCTTCCATCAACCCGCCCCATTCTCCTGCTTTCCATCAGCCCACCCCATTCTCCCGCTTTCCATCTCCCCGCCCCATTCTCCCTCCTTCCATGACCCCGCCTCATTCTACCTCCTTCCATCACCCCGCCCCATGCTCCCGCTTTCCATCACACCGCCCCATTCTCCCGCTTTCGATCACCGCGCCCCATTCTCCTGCTTTCCATCACCCCGCCCCATTCTCCCGCTTTCCATTACCCCGCCCCATTCTCCCTCCTTCCATCACCCCGCCTCATTCTCCCGCTTTCCATCAGCCCGCCTCTTTCTCCCGCTTTCCATCTCCCTGCCCCATTCTCCCGCTTTCCATCAACCCGCCCCATTCTCCCGCTTTCCATCACCCCGCCCCATTCTCCCGCTTTCCATCACCCCGCCCCATTCTCCCGCTTTCCATCACCCTGCCCCATTCTCCCTCCTTCCATCACCCCACCCCATTCTCCCTCCTTCCATCACCCCGCCCCATTCTCCCGCTTTCCATCACCACGCCCCATTCTCCCGCTTTCTATCACCCCACCCCATTCTCCATCTTTTCATCACCCCGCCCCGTTCTCCCGCTTTCCATCACCCCGCACCATTCTCCCGCTTTCCATCACCCCGCACCATTCTCCCGCTTTCCATCACCCCGCACCATTCTCCCGCTTTCCATCACCCCGCCCAATTCTCCCGCTTTCCATCACCACGCCCCATTCTCCCGCTTTCCATCACCCCGCCCCATTCTCCCACTTTCAATCACCCCGCCCCATTCTCCCTCCTTCCATCACCCCACCCCATTCTCCCTCCTTCCATCACCCCGCCCCATTCTCCCGCTTTCCATCACCCCGCCCCATTCTCCCGCTTTCTATCACCCCACCCCATTCTCCATCTTTTCATCACCCCGCCCCGTTCTCCCGCTTTCCATCACCCCGCACCATTCTCCCGCTTTCCATCACCCCGCACCATTCTCCTGCTTTCCATCACCCCGCACCATTCTCCCGCTTTCCATCACCCCGCCCAATTCTCCCGCTTTCCATCACCACGCCCCGTTCTCCCGCTTTCCATCACCCCGCCCCATTCTCCCGCTTTCCATCACTCCGCCCCATTCTCCGGCTTTCCATCACCCCGCCCCATTCTCCCTTCTTCCATCACCTCGCCCCATTCTCCCTCCTTCCATCACCCCGCCCCATTCTCCTGCTTTCCATCACCCCGCCCCATTCTTCCGCATTCCATCACCCAGCCCCATTCTCCCGCTTTCCATCACCCCGCCCCATTCCCCCTCCTTCCATCACCCTGCCCCATTCTCCCGCCTTCCATCACCCCGCCCCATTCTCTCGCTTTCCATCACCCCGCCCCATTCTCCCACTTTCCATCACCCCGCCCCATTCTCTCGCTTTCCATCACCCGCCCCATTCTCCCGCTTTCCATCACCCCTCATTCTCCCTCCTACCATCACCCCGCCCCATTCTCCCTCCTTCCATCACCCCGACCCATTCTCCCTCCTTCCATCACCCCGCCCCATTCTACCGCTTTCCATCGCCCGGCCCCATTCTACCGCTTTCCATCACCCCGCCCCATTCTCCCGCTTTCCATCACCCCGCCCCGTTCTCCCACTTTCCATCACCCCGCCCCATTCTCCCGCTTTCCATCACCCCGCCCCATTCTCTCGCTTTCCATCACCCCGCCCATTCTCCTGCTTTCCATCACCCTGCCCCATTCTCTTGCTTTCCACCACCCTGCCCCATTCTCCCGCTTTCCATCACCCCGCCCCATTTTCCCGCTTTCCATCAACCCGCCCCATTCTCCCGCTTTCCATCACCCTGCCCCAATCTACCGCTTTCCATCACCCCACCCCATTCTCCCTCCTTCCATCACCCCGCCCCATTCTCCCGCTTTCCATCACCCCCCCCCCCCATTCTCCCACTTTCCATCACCCAGCCTCATTCTCCCGCTTTCCATCACCCCGCCCCATTCTCCCGCTTTCCATCACCCCGCCCCATTCTCCCTCCTTCCATCACCCCGCCCCATTCTCCCTCCTTCCATCACCCCGCCCCATTCTCCCGCTTTCCATCAGCCCGCCCAATTCTCCCGCTTCCCATAACCCCACCCCCGTCTCCCGCTTTCCATCACCCCGCCACATTCTCCTGCTTTCTATCACCTCGCCCCATTCTCCCTCCTTCCATCACCCTGCCCCATTCCCCGCTTTCCATCACCCCGCCCCATTCTCCCGCTTTCCATCATCCCGCCCCATTCTCCCTCCTTCCATCACCCCGCCCCATTCTCCCGCTTTCCATCACTCCGCCCCATTCTCCCTCCTTCCATCACCCCGCCCCATTCTCCCTCCTTCCATCACCCCGCCCCATTCTCCCGCTTTCCATCACCCCGCCCCATTCTCCCGCTTCCCATAACCCCACCCTATTCTCCCGCTTTCCATCACCCCGCCACATTCTCCCACTTTCCATCACCCCGCCCCCTTCTCTCTCCTTCCATAACCCCGCCCCATTCTCCCTCCTTCCATCACCCCGCCCCATTCTCCCGCTTTCCATCAGCCCGCCCCATTCTCCCGCTTTCCATCACCCCTCCCCTGTCTCCCACTTTCCATCAACCCGCCCCATTCTCCCGCTTTCCATCACCCCGCCCCATTCTCCCTCTTTCCATCACCCCTCCCCATTCTCCCTCCTTCCATCACCCCGCCCCATTCTCTCGCTTTCCATCACCCCGCCCCATTCTCCCGCTTTCCATCACCCCGCCCCATTCTCCCGCGTTCCATCACCCCAGCCCATTCTTCCTCTTTCCATCACCCCGCCCCATTCTCCCGCTTCCATCACCTCGCCCCATTCTCCCTCATTCCATCACCCCGCCCCATTCTCCCGCTTTCCATCACACCCCTCCCCATTCTCCTTCTAGTCCCATAACCCCCACCCCATTCTCTCCCGCTTTCCATCACCCCCGCCACATTTTCCCACTTTCCATCACCCCGCCCCCTTCTCTCTCCTTCCATCACCCCCGCCCATTTTCCCTCTTTCCATCACCCCGCCCATTCTCCCGCGTTCCATCACCCTGCCCCATTCTCCCGCTTTCCATCACCCCGCCCTCTTTCTCCCGCTTTCCATCTCCCCGCCCCATTCTCCCGCTTTCCATCACCCCGCCCCATTCTCCCCATTTCCATCACCTTGCCACATTCTCCCGCTTCCATCACCCGCCCATTCTCCCCATTTCCACACCTTGGCGCACATTCTCCCGCTTTCCATCACCCTGCCCCATTCTCCCCCGCTTTCCATCATTCTCCCCATTTCCATCACCTTG